CGCATTGTAAGACCAGGCAGGTTCAGTGATAGTTTCGGCAAGACACAACAATAAATCAGGGTTTCTTACCATTCACCAGTTACTGAGTCCTTTGGACACCAGTCTGGAAGACAAGAAGCACCTAGCGGATCGGCAAACGCACACGGCGTGTTGTGCTGTAGGCAATGGTTAGGTATACACAACACTGAAGCCCACTGACAAGACGACGGATTTTCGAACAAAAAAAAAATCTTCCAAACTTTTCGCCTTACATTTGTTGGTGTTACTAACCCGTTCGATTCCGCCTACCCGTACCAACCTAGGTGAATTTCAGTCAATGATGGAAAACCGCTAGTCGATGGACGTATTCCATACATAAGCCCCACGTCTAGTAACTGTGCGGCAGAACTGACAGCACAACATATACGATTGCTTAACTTCAATCAAACGTCACGTATACGCTAAAAGTGTTTCAATTCAGTGTAGGCAGCTGAAAATTCCTTTAGCATGCTACTGTCATTCGTCACACAACTACTACCCGACTATAGTCAAATCCTGACCGCCTGGTTTCGAAGTATGGGTGGTCAGCACCCATCAATTGACATTTCGAAGATGAAAGCACACACACAGAGAGAAAGGAGCCAGAAGCTATTCGACTAGACAGACAAAGCAATCATCGTCCCCGCTCCAAATCACTCAGCACTTTCGCTCTCATTAGTCTGCAAAGCAATGGAACAGGAATGACAAAGTAGAGCACTCTTGACGAAGAAGATAGGTACTCCAACCTCAGAAGATTGCAATTTGTTAGAAGACCGGCGCGCCGTCTTTGTTGTATGACACATCTCTGTGTGATGATGAAAACTACAAAGGACAAAGCCCAAAATCAAACGAACCCACTGTTTACTACTCATGATAACCGAAACTCTGACGGCTGAAACTTGGAGCAGAGAACCAAATAATTTCGCACACTAGGATAGGTGACAGTCTTTGACGCGCGCCCGTAAAAATACAGCGTATATACAGCGTACAGCAACACCTCTCGAATCACAGAATCGTCATATTCCAAAAATGTGTAAGTTGAAGCCTCAATTTTATCACTGCAGATACAATCGGTAGTTAAAAATTGCAGAAGATCGCTATAGATTTCTGAGGTGCTTTAAATCAGATTGGGATGCACTCACATATGCGTCTACCGCCTCAGTCCGATCCAGGCACTGGTTTGTACTTATACACGGAGCAGAATACAGTCAACAATCAAAACTTTCTATGAACAGTCGAGTGAGCCCAGCTAACACTGTTGACTAATACTGGACTGGGGTAGCGGTTACGCACCCTCTGAATGTGGAGGACTAAAATCACAACCGTCCATTCTAGCCATCGAGTGTTGCGGTTAGTGTACATTAGCCTATACGGATGTAGGCATCTACAGATTGGCTAACACGATGTTCTGCAACATCATCCGAAGCCAAGTGATTGATCAACGATCTCCAGTATAATAATCACCATCACACAGCGTGCTCGTGAAACTAAACGGCCACAAGGTCTGGGTGAGGTGAAGCTGCTGCGATTGGCTGACATATATATATGAATAAGGACTATATAGTGGATTAAATAGGCTATCGAGTAACTGATTAGAACTGGTCATCATTCAGACTTCATCTTCACGCACATTCATCAGCTCTTCCAATCAACCATACACACTCGGAAACACTAGACTCGAGTTTCGCTCCTAATAGAGCTCATCAGTAGTGCATATCCACCAGCCTGTCCGAGATTTGAACTCCAAATACATCGCATGGAAAGCGTGTGTGTTACAACTATCCAAAAATCCAAGGTCTCACAACCGTAAAACAGAACTGATCGTACAGTGACGCCGTGTACGCAACCTTTCAACTTCAGTGAAACGTGAAGTCATCACCACAGATGTTTGGGTCTTGCGTACACTGCTCGAGCCTTGGAAATGAGAACGGTTATCTCCGTTGAAGTGTTACTGTCGTTGGTCACACAGCTACCCAAGTACGGGAAGCATCTAACATTGACTAATTCCTGACCATCTCGTTTCAGAACGAGTCTCGAGGACGTTCAATCTGGCAGCATAAGTGTGCACTGTGAAGGTGCAAAGCGCATAACAAACGGAACAACATAATTTGCTGGTCTGTCTAGGGCGTTTTGGTTATCCTCCATACATGTGAACAGGCAAACGATGTCCTAAGCGTACTCCAAATCGTACAGCTTCTCTCCACCTGTCCATTCAGTACCTATTTTTTTTTTTAGAAAACGCTTAATGCATTATCCAGGATTTCGTTTGTGACGAAATTAGACAGGAATGACGAAAGAGGGTAGCCTGGATAAACAGCAAAGCTAGGTTTGAATGGCCTAATTAGCTCACCGTAGACCCTTAGGCTACCAGATGTATGCGATTATAGTGAAGAGTTGGTCGATACAACCGCGAGCTAGCAGGAATCTTGAGAGGGAGTCTGTTCGTCTGTGGGTTAGCTTAGTTAGGATAGAATGCCAATAGTGCTAACATGTGATAGGCATGAACAGTCGCCAAGGTCACCACTGACAACGAATGTATTGGCTTTATAATTCCAGAAGGCGGTGACTGATCAAGGAAAATTGATGGAACGGTCCACTATTAGACGCGTGTTCTTGTATTCACCATACTGAACAGCAGTAGTTCGCTCCAACAGGTCTTATTCATTTTTGGCCGCTGACAAGAATCGCCAATCGCACTTTATGCAAATTACTCACAAGTGAGTAGTATCTCCCAACAACACTGGTACTAATGCACATTGGGCGTAGTGAACGAATCCATCGGTTTCAATTGGCATAGGCGTTTACGGAGAAGGCTAATCAAGTTTGGCAATGGTTGGAAGACCGTTTGGCTGATCCACGTTGTATACGGCGTAACTAACGCGTTGGTGCTTGCAAATTGGAAACTGGTAAACCGATACAAACCAAATTTCCCGTAAATGCAACACAAATCAATTTGGTAGAAATAGCATGAGATGGCGATACAGAAGCTTACCAGAAAAAGTTGTGCAAGCTGGAAAAACCAATATGTCCAGAATAGCCGCTTAGTCGTTCTGGGTGTGCATTTCCGGTCATTAACTAACCCTAGAGCAGCCAGATTATCCAACCAACGGTGCTTTGACTCACTTCGGATGAACGGATCGTACTACATACAAAACAGGAACATTTTGCACGAAACTGCAACTGCGCACCTGATCTCCAGATGCGTAGTACAGCTGAAAATAACCCTTGGCATAAAGCGACAGGTGTACTCGTTCTGTGCACGGTTTTCACACGAACGGCGGGAGTTATCGCAGCGTGGATTACCAGCCCTACTTACAACGAACTAGTTACTACAAAAGCTACCCTGGTGGTATGATAATCAACAATAAATAAATAAAACATCATTTTATATCCGCGAGAGATTCAACAGGGTCACTGATTGCGCTCTACAAACGTCTCGTTGCGCGACACATATTCCCTTTGCTGACTGTGAACAACACGACACAGGTGGTATTGAAATCCGGCTTAACCTGTCACTACAGCTCTGGCTTAGTCGATCCCGATATCACCGTGCGAAAATAAGACTGGAACATAAAAAAGTACACGGCTCCCAAGACTGGAATAATAAATTAGTTTTGCGTGATTTGTACCATTTGATTGTTCCAATCGCCGGGTTTGCTACGGGACAATTCGAGCTCCGACGACGATGTGCTGTTCGCATTTCGTGTGATCTTTTGGAGGAGGAGGCCAGCAGCAGCAGGAGGAGGAGGGCGCACCAACTAGCACCAGCAGTGACAGTGACACTTCACTGTTTGCCACTGAGACCACTCACTATACTCCACTCATCCCAATGATGATGATATCCACGAGGCAATTATCCACCCAGCAACAGAACCGAATTCCGTGCCCAAAGTTATCCCAGAAAGGACTGATAAGCGCAACAGGCTCGTGTAGATGAGTTGTACCCAACGGTGCATATTCGAAATGAAAGACAGGTCTCATTAATTGCCCACCATTGATCAAGTGGGTACTATGCTTGCGTTCTATCTGAGAGATCCCCTGGATTCGATCCCCCCGTTCGGTCGATGGATTCGAGCACTGCTCAGATGAGACCCAACCAGGTCGAAACAGCTGTCCAGTACTGCTTCCTAGCTTTTCAACTCACACCTCATTTTTACACGACGAATTCATCATATAAACGAATCAAATAATCCGTTAATCACATATCCCAGAAATGTTTACGAGTAACAACAACAAGTTACATCTGAAAATCTCTCATCGCGATCGATGCCATAACCATTGGGAATACACACAGAACTTGACCGATGCAAGCAACGCAACGTGGTGGACAAGTTCCGGAATAGTCAGTGTTTTAGCTGCATCCAGTTTTCTCTCGAACTCTGTCTGCACCAACATCAATCCACATTTTTATGATTTGCTAACAATCTAGATGCCGCCTTTATTTGTTAAACGACGTACGTCAACAACTAATTCTAATTGTTATTACGAAGAGCGTTCCGCCCCTCACGGCGGTTTTGACTATTCACATCGCTTGAAGAAAACCATCTATTACTATCATTTTCTGTATAGAACTAACAGTAGCACACACACTTACCTGTCCAATTTTCTGGACCAACTGCACATCTTTGTTGTCCAATTCCCAATCTGGCCTAGTGATTGGGGTGATCAAACAGGCTCCGGATTTGGCTGTCACCGGGGTCTGGGTGAGCATGTGATATTCCAACAGTTCCCTGTTCGGACAGAGAAAAAACAACAACAAAGACAAACGATTAAAACAATTCGTTTGACTATCGTTTATATGTATATATTACTTATTCTGATATATATTTTACAATAAGTAGTATATGATTGACTGGATAAAATTTCCCTAGAACAGCACACGACCGATTTCGCGGTTCTTGCCATTCGTCAGGCATGTGTATCCGGTAACCTTTTGTCAGTTCATTCATAGGCTTGTATCCAGGAAGTGTATTTTCCGCACAATAACCTTATTTGCTCTTTAAGAGCCAGTCAATTGAAGAGATCATGGTCACCAATGGTTAGAGACACTGAGCGATATGGCTGAGTGTCGCAAACAGTGGCGCTCATGCATCTAGTCATTGTTCTTGTAACTTCTGTCTATGTAAATAAACTATCTTCTGCTTGAATCTGCTCTCATCATTCTAACCACCATTCGGCTGTTTTATCCAAATGGGCAACCAAAACCGGCGCACGAAAGTGCATGGTTAATGGTTGTAAGAACAGAACAGAGAACAAAACCATTGAAGAATCAATGCTATGATTCGATGCTTTGTAAGTGGGTTAGATGTGCTACTAACCCGCAACAAACGTGACCTGATAGGCTTTATATATGTATATGTTGTGAAAGAGAAAAAAGCGAGCAGGAGCGCAGAATGACTCAAGTGGGAAAGACAAGCAAATCGTATCCGAATCAGCACAGCACTATTCAACTTTTCATGATACACTATTTCAGAAGGAACGGTATGTGGATAGAAGCTCTGGGACTACCATAGGCCTAATGGCCTCATCAGGGCAGGGTGCTGTATTGCAATGGAGGTTCACTGATGCTCAAAGTTAACTTGCGCATACAGTCCGCTCCGCCAGGAGTAAATACACAGAGAAACGGGATGCTCACCCTGGTGGCTGGCATATACGCATCAAAATTATTTGGTCAAGAAAAATGCATCAATGTATCAATCGAGCTGGTACATAGTAACCTGATATACACGGCTGGTCATGGACCAAAGATTCGCGACGGGTTAAGAAAAACTAAAAAAGAAGCTTGCACCATGCAATGCTATCAAGAGATGGGGGGATAATGGTGCGCGATCGATGGAGAACACGATCTTGCACTCGATTGTATAGTTTATACCACCCCTAACCCTTCGAACAGTCCAGAAATTTGCTGCTTGGGGGTAGCGTAAATTAGTAAATCTTTCTCCTTCCGACAAGGCAGACAATGAACACAGTCTGAATTCGCAATCCACACTGATGCATGATGCAGAAAACCAGGGTTTCAATAGGTTAACACACTACTGACTCTTCGCTTCACTACCATGGTCGCATAGATGCATCGACACAGTATCTAATTCCGATGTTTGTTTGCCACGGAGTTCGTGAACTTCTGGATCGTGCTCTCCACTGGGGGACGGGGGAACGTAGGCATCCACAGGGTGTCCAGTTAGAGGGATTGACCGGTTCCGATTCCGTGTATATCGAAAATAGGAAGAAATATAGCGTTTCTTAACGCAAATGTATGATGCTGTAACAATTAAATTTTTGGCAGTGAACGGCAGATCCGAAATTGTATTCCCCGGTATTTTATTCCACTGCATTGTACGCGGGCTAATGCAGATGCACGAACAGTTTTATTTATTACACAAACATAAGCATTGCATTTTCTCAAAGTATTCTCCATCTCCAGCGTTCATGCATAAAATAAAATGTGCTCAAACCATTTGGTCAAACAGCTCGATCATGTCAGAGCGGGTAACCCGTCAATGAAGGCCTCTACTGCAATTGTTGGTGACGCGTGTAGGATTCCCCGCACTGTACACTCGACATTTTGGAACACAATGCTGCATCACCAAAGGCAGCTTTCAAACAATACTCAGCTGCGGCTACTGCTGCTCTGAACCACATTTGTATATTCGTAGAAAATCATCGCCCTCCGGTGGCATCGACTGAGTTCCATTCGTACAATCCGAGTATATAGCGATCCTTGTATGACTTGTGTGCTGTGCTCGGCTGTGTTGTGATATTTAGTTTAACTAAGCCCTCATACTGGTACTTTACTGTACTCTACTGCAGTGTAATGTTGTATTAATCAGCTTGATATGTGTGTGTGTGTTTGCGTGTACAGCTTTGCAGCCACGCAACGCGATAATGCTGCACATCAGGCTATTATTCTCAAACCAATTTTATCGTCAGAAAATAAACTGTGGTAACAAACCTATAGGTAAACTGTCAACAGTGCGGACGGATCAGAAAAAACAAAAACAAATGAGAAATCACTAATCTGGGGGGGGGGAGTTGACATGGGGATGAAATCACATGCCAAACTAATCAGTTCCTCTTCGGGGCTTAACAACCGTCGTAACTCGCAATTAACCAGAGAGAGAGAGCGAGAGAGAGAGAGAACATAGGGAACACGCTCCAGTCAAGTCAATGTGCGAAAACCAAGGGGCACACGCACACAGAAACAAGGAACGGTGCAAACGAAGTGTGATCACTTGCCGGATGGTGGGAAATTCACCTTCTTCCAATCGCCAACCGGAATCGTTGGGTGTGCCACCGTACAGAATGAAATGCTTGTGGCCAAACCAGTACACCGAGAGTACCATGCGCATCACAGTTGTGTCCACACCGGGTAGCACACCACGGTCGGATGTTGAACTGGTCCCGTCCACAATTTTGCGATTCTCTTCAATCGCCGCGTTCCAATTTTGGACGAGATCGCGGCAACTGGCCCGTTTACTAGTTTGCCGTATAAGGAAATCACCTTGCTTCTGGAGCAGTCTACATGGTGATAGAAAGACAGGATAAAACGCAGCATCATTTCACGAAAAAATTATCACGTTCAGCCATAGTCCAACTTGAATCAAATTTTGAGGATCTGCTATCCCTGAATAGGGAATTGAGAGTATCATTCGTGGTGACAATAAGAGAGGACGGGCGGGGAAAAATCAACTAACATGATCAGTGGATTAGGCAAAATCGGTGAACCGCTCTGTGCATAAAGCAAATGTTATCAGTATGCATTTTTTGTTCTGCAATTCAATCTGCGTTGCAAACTGATGCGAAAATTGGGCCAGTCAAAGTCATCTAATCTTGTTACAGTCCTGTTTACAGCCACAACGACCGCGATCGAATATCAATGACTCGTATTCAGCCGCGGCAAAGACAACCACCAACATTATTATCTGGAACGGACTAGTGGTATTATAAGTTCACAAGGCGGTGCAGATTACAGTTTGGATATCACTAATTTGGCATACATATAACAGAAATCGCATTTGAAATATGTCATCCCAATTCTCAGCAGCACACCAGGTGATGAATGTAGCAGTGTCTTTGAGGTACAACAATTTGCCCTCAATGGTCTTGTTAATTTTTGATCGTTAAAGGAAACCATTAACCACACTATTTTGAATGCTACTCACAAGTGTAAGTAGTACCTCACAACAGTAGTAGTAGATGTACCTGAGGAGAAGGAACTTATGGTTATGTTTTGAATGCTGGGAAAAAAATCGATTGCAGCTTATGTATGTATGTATCATAAACCATGAAGACCATAACTCGTGACACCCTGTTGTGCTCTGACAATCAAAAAAAAACGACCAACCAACATACAGGATATATCAGGAACACGTGGAAAGCGTTATGGCACAGATAAAGATTGGTGTACACCCGATCCAACCTCAGAACGCATAGTTAGCCGATTTGATGAAAGCAAACAGCTTTATCAGAAAAGCTATCGTTGCACCTATACTTAGAACCACTGATACGAACAGTGATTCAGTCGTCTTCACCGGCGTGCTTAAGACCCTATGGTCCGAGATTCGAGCCCAAGGCACCGACACCGATACCAACTTTGGTGTTAGGCGCAGAACCAACCGATTCGCGACACGAAGCTAATCANTTTTTTTTTTTGCTGTCCTTTGCACTAGTTCTTATGATCGAACGCACAATTGTACAAGCAAGTTTCAGCAACGTGAAGACGATCAGTCAAAAGAGCTGTCATTTGGGGAACAAAGACAAAGAGAACGTTGGGCCGCGGTGGCAGTGGTAGTGGTGGAGCATGAACATTCGAGCTCCGGAATGATACAAAAAATGGCGGCACTAACCGCTTGACCGCCACCGTCTCCACCATGTGAAACCTTTGTTCGCAGAATTATTGTACTAATGTGATTCAAGTTATGGGCAGGGAGGTAAGGAGCACAAATTGGAATTGAACGATTTCCAGTGAGATACGCAGGACTAGTACTGATACTCGGAAGAAATCCACGGAGATTTCCCACTACCTGATTCATTTCAAGGACTTTTCGAGGTGTCGAAGCAAGCAGGATCGTGATTAACTCAGAGTGTGCTCGGACTACGGGGGAACCAATGGACACCCAGTCGATTGTTGGTCGATCCGTTTCAAATTGATGGCGATGATGAACATTGCGCAGTTGACTTGTTAAACGGAAATAGCGATACTCAACACAAATAATCGGCCAGGACGGATTTGAGACCGACCGATGCTCAAACCCGTTGATTCCACTGGATGTCTGAGGAAACGAACCTGAGACCGCAACGGAGATCGCACCATACGCTGGCGGGTGAAGTTGTGCACAGTATAGAACCGGAAATAAATGCAAAACCACTAGACTTTGTCGTTTTCATGGCTAAAGAACGCATCGGATCATGTCAGGTTTGTGAACAGAGAAAGCATTCGACACTAGGTGGAAATGGAACGATACAATAGAATGAATGACTAACCTCTCAACTTCCGCTCGCGGTAACACACCATGAAACCACGGTTCTTTATTGATGTCCACTTCACCCTGGATAATGGATCGGACGGAGAAATGGGAATGACAAGCTAGTACCAGAGCTTTCTTAGTATACAATTGTTTAAATAAACAAAAAAACAATAACCACATCATGATGCCATTTATTTCTGCGACTATCGGCTTCTGGAGGACCAATCAAAAGGGTCCGATACACGTCAGATGTTACGTGAAAAATTTCCAAACAAAATACATACACACACACACACACACACAACGAATGGTGAAAGTGCTTGCCAACTTGTCCATCCATGTCTTGAGAATCGCGGGAGGGGGGGGGAGAGAGGAGCGAGGAGAATAATAAATAATCAGAGAAAATAGGTTAGGTAAAGCAGGTGGTGCGCGTCTGTGTTTCGGGTTCGATTCCCGGCGGATTTAATTAGTTCTCACAGACCAATCATAATTCCTAACAGGCAGAGAGTGGAACACCATTCCACTTATGGATGACAAGACAAATCCGGCACACATTGCAAGCTGATTGAGTGTTTGGGGCAGGGGCAGGGGCAGGGGGGGAGAGACAAGTTTACTTTACCGGGATCGAACAAAATGATTCTGTGCAAAACAGAAATGGGAAGAATGCACTCCCATGAATAATCCTCCGGGGCTATTTTTAATCGATTACAACAACCGTTTCAAATCTATTATCCACAATTGAATGGGACATAGACCAGATATTAATTCAGTTCTCTTTTTGGACGGGATACTCTACTACTCATTAAACACATTTCCACAGTGGGTTCACGATGACTATTCAACAGGGAACAGTATGAGTGTTGAACTGAGGCGTCTTGACTACATACGTGTGTGAGTTGAATAACTCGGTCATCATCATCAGCATACAGCGTAATATAGTGAAGCAAACTTCATTGATCGTTGCCAAACTCATAACGCATACAAGGTAAGTAAGAACATGTAAGGAGGATAGGGAATGGACTTACTTTTAGGGACGAGAAAACAAGGCGAACTTGTATAGTCAACACACACCCATTACACGTCCAACTGTACACACATACGATTTCAAGCATTCTGATCTGATAAGAAGTGGCAACATGATCGTCACTGCTTTCGGTTCGCAGCCATGACCTCCAGTGTCTGCAACCATGCGGTTACGAAGTTTTTTTGTGAACACAACCCGCAAGAAGACAGACATCTACTCTACCTAATCGCTCTGTGCATTTCTTCATGCCTCTTCTCCACGTAATCTGCTGGTCTCCACGTGACTGGCTCCAGGCTGCAACAGCCACTGGAAATCAGGCGTGTTGCAGTAAGCGACTAACTCGGTCCACCGAGGACAAACATGATGCGTGAACACAGAGAAGACTAAAATTGATTCGAGTATTTGCTGCTTCCTCGGGGTGAGAGGAATAGGGGGGAGGGAGTTGTGTTCTATCAGTTTTCGTTTTATTTTTCATTGAGCCCAAGAGAAAACAACGGAATTCAACAATAGACTCATCTATGTGAACTGTGATGCGGGTTACTCTTTTAGTCATACGCTGTCTCACATGTGTACACACAGACACAGAGGACAGGGGAAAGATTGCAAGTAATTCACAACAAGTGTGTGCTTAGAATTCCCAACCGTCGCCCACTCCGCCTCCTCGCCGCGCGCCGGGACGTGAACCAAATAACACAAATAATAATGAACTGCTGACAAAATAATGTAAACCATTAGCATATACGTATGGTTCAAGATGGATGGCACAATATGTATGCAAATACGTATGTGAATCAGCGACGAACCACCAGACACTCACATAGGCATTGAGGCTGTACCAATTCTGAAGAGAATGGATCAGAATGAAAGGCGTGAAAACAGGAGTTAAAAATTCAAACAGAAGCACGCGTATCATTGTCATCATCATCATCACAGACGACGACAACCGAGAAGTGAGTATCACGAATTCGGACGAGGAAATATAAACGACACCAGAATCCCTGCGTTTGGGTTCTATCCGCATGCGGGGTTTGTATGCTAAGACGATTATTGTCCAATAAGGACTAAGTGGCCGTCAATGTGAAACGCGCACTCATGAATTCATGGTTATTTCAATGTGATTGTTCAGGCTTTGGTTATCCGAAGGTTCCGGTTGGGAATTCCCTGGGAAAATTCACCTGCTTCGGCCAGGGCAACCTAGTATTATCGTGCCCTCAAGCAAAACATGTTTTTTCTTATTTATAAGGATAACTGTACCGTGATTGGTTTGCCATACAGTTTCAGTACAACCATTAACCATGGTTGTCACACAGTTTGGCCTCAGACGCGTGTGAAATACAATAATTGAGTAATCAAATAAAACCGGAACCGGGAAACGCTGGGGCTAAGTGCGTTATATAAGGACAAGAATAAAATAAGATGCCGTGGAACGAAACATTTGCGTTTCCCGTAAGATCTGATTGACGACTGTCTGGACCGGAACGACCCGATTCATGTAAAATTCCCAAAAGCAAATATTGCATAATCAAAAGTAAATTAGAAGGACATAAAATATCTTTGAATGGAACTGGCTAGAGCCGGAAAGACGGAATCCGCAAACAGATGAAACACAAGCTCCGATGATTGACACGTGGGTCCCGTGGCGCGTAAAACCCAAGGGACGTCTCGTGTCCGGGTGCACTTCTTTGTCTTTTGACTTCCCATCCAGTATGGATAGGAGTTATCATTTCTAGATCTTTTCACAGTCAATCAGTGATTACCAAATCCGTATCCCCATACCGTTAGTTCTGGCAAACAGTTCTGGACGTATTGATCCGGCGAATTCCACGGCTCAGTATGATGGATAGTACATGACTCGTAAACGCTATCTGTCCCGGAAGAGGGA